AAGAGACTAGGCTAGTATAAGTGGTCTGGTTATGAATGCGAAACCTCACAGGTAATAGTTTTAGAGAGAAGAAATGACAAATACTTTTATTACACTTTTAGAGGTATCAGGATCTCAATGAATCTTTTCCAAATGTGAACAAGGGAAGGCCTGGCTGCCTCAATGTAGATTTCTACAGTTGTAAATCTCTCCCACAAAAGACAGCTTTACAGGGCTATATCTGTTTGCTGGCTTTCTGAACAGTCATCTCAAAATATGTCAGTGAAATATATATAATTATATAATATATAATTATATAATATATAATTATATATATTATATAATTATATATATTATATATAATATATATATAATATATATATTATATATATAATATATAATATATATATAATTATATATTATATATAATTATATATTATATATATAATTATATATAATATATATATATGAGTAAAATACTTTTTTTCCTTCACAAGCATAGTTTAAATAAGAAAATAAGGTACAATGTATGGAGTCAAAATATTTTAAAAATAACACAACACAGAATTTTATCTCTAATCATAGTTTTACAAAGAAGAAAGTTGAAACAGAATATTGTGGCATATTGTTTAAAGGTACATGCCTATTTTATTATAAAATACTATATATATATTTGTCATATATGAGTGCATTAAAATATCACAGTTTTTAAAATTATACATAAGAAGGTAACTATGAAATATTGAGGGGAATATCTGGTTTTGTAATTTAGCTGGAAATTTGATAGAGCTAAGTATTTGGGGAAAATGTAGCTTACATCTACATATCAAAAAAATATATATCTAGTTTTTGAATAAGTTTTATCAACTAAATTATGCCTTATGATCCCATATTATAACATTAGAAAGACTCACTATTTCCCTATTTTAGGCTTCTCTGTCCACCATTTTCTCTTTTAGTCCCAATTCAAACAGCATGACCCCATTTCTGTTTATTATCTTACAGTATAGGACCCAGATAATTATTGCCTTTTTAGGCATTTATTGAAATGACATTAATAAAACTAATAAATTATTTTAAAAGGTTATGCTTTGGCATTAAACTGAGCTGTGATCGCTGTACCCCACAGAAAAACTCCAGTACTGACTCGGTCTTTATGAGTTTATCGTCTTCTTAAATCTATATTTTTTCTCAAAACTTATTTTTTTTTCTAATATTGTATCAAAAATTTTATCTATTAAAGCAATTTAGTGTGACACTGACTGCTTCACATTTTCCTTTGTGAATATAATCTGGGAAAGATGAGAGCGGCTCATCTTTTATCGCTTAACATGCTTGATCTTTGCGTCCTCATAAATTACCATCTTCACTCCAAAGAGTTTATTGCCTTATTTTAATATGCCAAAAACAAGATAGCTGCAAATTTTCCTTTAAAAAGACTTTTTTTCCTTCACAATAAATGTATTTGTCATAAAGTGATAAAATTCATGCTAATATAAACCTCTGGGATAACAACTTTTCTCCTAATAAATGCTGGCTGAGCTTTGTTGTGTGACTGCTTATGAAAAGGTTATTGAGCAAAATATCTGAACAGTCACCTCACCAAATATGATATATGGATGGTAAATATGCATATGAAAAGATGTCCCACACCATGTCATTAAGGAATTGCATGTTGAAATAAAATGAAATATTATTACACATCTATTAGAATGACAAAAATATAAAATATTGATACCACCAAATTCTGACAAAGATGTGAAGCAACAGGAACTCTCAGTCATTGTTTGCGGGAATCCAAAATGCTACCCAAATGAGATGAAAATGTGTATAGACAGAAAACCCGCACACAGATATTTATAACAGCTTAATTCATAACTGCCAAAACTTGGAAATAACCAAAGCAAGATGTCCTTTAGCAGGTGAATGAGTAAATAAAATGTTATATCCAGGCAATTAAACATTTTTTTCAGTGATAAAATGAAATGAACTTTCAGGACAAGAAAGGCATAGAGGAGACTTATTTACAATCCAGCCATTCATACAGCGTTCTGGGTGTCATTAAAGAGCTAGAATATATAAAGAGTCAGGCAAGCTAGTCACTTTCCTTACTATGGGCACATATTATCACCCAGGCACCTTCTTAATGTTGTTAAATTGTACCTTAACGGCTTGAAATGTTACTCAAATTTTCATCCACAAATAGTGTATAAAAGAGAAAATAAAATCACATGTAAGCTATTACTTTCAAGTTCTTTCTTTGCCAATATTGAAAACATTAACTTATCCTCTTTTATTCTTCATAATATGTTAGGAGACTCTAGAGAGTAGTAAATGAACAAAGTCAGATTATCAGAAAAGAAAGGAATAAAGAGCAGAAGAGATATAAACAAACTAAAAGGTTAAAACAAAATGCTTATATATTTTAAATATCAGGCAGTGGAAAATGAGGCTAAATGAGGGTGTAAGTGTGCAAAATTTACTTCCACTAAAACACCAATGTTTGGGAGACTTATTAAGAACAAGAGTTTTTTTATAACTTACTTGGTCTTCTTTTTGCCCTCTCATCCATCCACTAGTTAGCACGGAGAAAAACAATGTTGTGTCATGCAATTCTTTAATAATTTAATAACTATTCTTTTCTCAGTCTCTCATTGGGATAAAAATCGTTAGTCATTTGGATAGTTTTTTCTTCACCTGCTGTTGCACTTTGTTGTTGACCCTTTCTGACTCTCTTTATCAAGAGCTGCAATCTCTATGCTATAAAAGAATCATAAGCAGCTCAAAGAGTTAGACTTCACAGCCTTATTTTGCCTGATCATGCTGAGGGACTGTGTTAAAGAAAAAAACTGTCTTCACGGGTCCACAACGGGCGTGGTTTCAAAGGCAAGCACTTCCCAGCGTTGTGCCTCCGTCCACCTCCCCGACTAGGAACCTAGAGAGAGTTATTTGTCTAACTTTCCCCTGCCGGCTAGGTAGAATTCCAGGTGTGCTCTTTGGTTTGAAAAGCCCACTAAAAGCCCTGGAAGGAAAGGCCGCTGTTCTCGGCCAGGCAACCAATCCGGCATCAGAGTTGAAGATCAATCACCCAGAGGATGTTTGAAAGAACTCCTGTCATTGGACAAGAACGTGAATGGGGCAGGAATAACTTCAAAGTTAGAACCCCACAGCCCCTTCTTACCTGTGCGGATTTTCCTCTCTGAGATTCCTTCTCTGGGATCCCCTCCCACAACAATGTGGGGGCTGTGTTTCCCTCTCTATCTGTACAGAAATCCCCTTCAGATTCCCCTCCTAGGGCGATGTGGGAGCTCTCTCTCTTTCTCTCTCTGCCTAATCAATCGCTTTCTGCTAAACTCTTTGGGTCCCTGATATTTCTACGAACAGTGAGCTCACCACTGCCAGGGCCTTTTCCCCATTCCTTGGGCAAGTGAGGCCAAGAACCTGGGACACCTGGTTACAATGCTGTGCTGTAAAATCGCTGTTACCAAACCACAGACTGCTGTTGGTTGTAAAGGGAGGGATCTCTTTTCAGTCCCTAAACGGATAGCAGGGCCAATAACTCATCTTTTTGCCACCAAAAGTTATTTTACATATCTAATGCATCATCCTCTTTTCCAAAAAGTGAGAAATCAGGACTCAAAATAGATACTTGTCTCTCTTTCTTTCCCTTAATACCTTCAAGCTGGGAAATCAGCTGGCTTTGCTTCCACTCTTTATTCTTTTTGCTTAGCTGACACAGCTGAATCTTGTGTCCTCTCCTGCCACAGGAAACCTGAATTACTGGAGTCCTCTTAAGTACATTTATTGATATGGTAAAGGAGAATAAAGAATTTGGAAAATCCATTCTTAAGATAATAGCCGGACTTTCAAAGCTATTGTTTTGTGCATAATCCAACTTGAATGTCAACAAACAGTGCTTAGGTATTTCTTTTTGCATTCCCTCTGTAACACATTTAAATGTTCCTTTAAGTAGTGAAAGTAGGGTAAGCCAGGGCAATGGCCAATACTCAGGAAAACAAAAGGTAAATTTTAATTCTAAAATCTATCACTTCTGTTTAAAGCTTATTTAAAGGCTCGCCATATCTACCACTGAAAATTTATTCTTTTTGCTTAATTTACTTTATTATTATACTTCATACATTTCTTAGTTTTTAAAATGAAAAAATATTTGATATTTTAAAAGTAAGAGTAATGCAAGGTTGATAATGAAATGCATTACTTCTCTTTTAACCTAACCAACTCCAGAAACACTTTTCTAAGAAATAAATACTATTTTCTGTTTTAAAATAATTAAGGTAAATCCATGAATTATAAGTTCACCTAAATGTGTTTTGACTAAGGAACACACCTGTTAAGCCCACTCCTCACAGAACATTTTTATTAACCTCTGAAAATTTTCTTATGTTCCTTTAGGGTCAATTTTCCACACTCCAGAAGCAAACAGTGCTCTGATCTCTATCATGCCATGTTACTTCTGCCTCTTTTCTTAAAATTTATGAGTGACTACATAAACTGTGTACCATTTATGTCTGATTCCTTTCACTTATATAATACTTTTGAGTTTAATCCAGGTTGCCACATGTGCTAGCATTTCCTTACTTTGTAACACTGTGGATTCTTGTAAACACCATCAACTCTTCCTGTCCATAGGTTTGGCATCCTTGGGTTTAACCAACCAAGAGTAAAAAATATTTGGGGAAAAAAATGTGTCTGTATTGAACATGTACAGATTATTTTTCTTGTATTATTCCCTAATCAAAGCAATATAACAAGTGTTTACATAACATTTACATCATATTGGCTATTATAAGTGATCTAGAGATGACTTTTAATCTACGGAGGCAGAGCCAAGCATGGAAGAGTGGAGGTCTGAGCATCACAGCAGGCCCCTCTTTTCCCTCCCCATCTTTACCCACCTGCTCTAGGCCTACCTTTACCTGCCAACTCAGCCCGCAGAACACCTGTCCATCACGAATCCTTCAGCAAGTTCCTGCTTAAACAAAAGCATCAAGCAGGTGTACATGTCCCTGCCTCAGGGTGAGAAAGTCCAGGCCATGTGTATCAGGATCAGTGTTGGTGGAGAAGGACTGTGCTGCAAGATCCGTACCATGGACAGTGAGCCCAAGTGTGTGAAAGAGTTGCCTGAGTGGAATTTTGATGGCTCTAGTACTTTACAGTCTGAAAGCTCCAACAGTGACGTGTATCTTATGCCTGCTGCCGTGTTTCAGGACCCTTTCCACAAGGACCATAACAAGCTGGTCTTCTGTGAAGTTTTCAAGTACAGTTGAAAGCCTGCAGAGACCAATTTGAGGCACATCTGTAAATGGATAATGGACACGGTGAGCAACCAGCACATAACACGCTGGTCTTCTGTGAAGTTTTCAAATATATCTGTAATGGGTAATGGACATGGTGAGCAACCAGCACCTCTGCTTTGGCATAGAGCAGAAATATACCCTCAGGGAGACAGATGGGCAGCCCTTTGGTTGGTCTTTCAATGGCTTTTTGTGACACCAGGGTCCCTATCATTGTACTGTGGGAGCAGATAAAGCCTATAGCAGGAACATCTTGGAGGCTCATTACAAAACCTGCTTGTATGCTGGAGTCAAGATTTCAGGAACTAATGTTGATGTCATGCCTGCCCAATGGGAATTCCAAATCAGACCCTATGAAGGAAACAGCATGGGAGATCATCTCCAGGTGGCCCGTTTCATCTTGTGTCGTGTATGTGAAGACTTTGAGGTGAGAGCAGCAACCTTTCACCCGAAGCCCATTCCTGGGAACTGACATGGTGCAGGCTGCCACACTAACTTTGGCAGTAAGGCCATATGGGAGGAGAAAAGTATGAAGTACATTGAGGAGGCCAACAAGAAAATAAGCAAGTGGCACCAGTACCACATCCATGCCTCTAATCCCAAGGGGGGTCTAGAAAATGTCTGGTTCCTAACTAGATTCTATGAAATTCATGGCAGAAGCCACCCATCTGGAGCAGCTGCTGCTATGATGCCAGTTGTAGAGGGGGAGGTGCCACCGGGCTGTATGTCTGAGTTGGAGGGGTGGGAGCTACACACTCCCAGATGTAGCTGTAGCCTGCTAGCCAAGGCTATGGACCTGGCCATCCCTGTGTTCTCAGGAATCTGGGAAGCCCCCTTTCCCCCAGACTGAGAAGTGCCTGCTTCTGCTGCCTGGCCTCCCCTGGCTCCTGGTGCCCACTCTAATTTTGGAGCAACGTTGAGGCTGAGCCCAGGCACAGTTGCAACCTGGCTGGGTATGTGCACACTTGGGGCAGTGTTGACATAACAGGCCCCTGCAGCCTCGGGCCCCTTTGGACCAGGGGCATCTATGAGCACAGAAGGGAGGCCAAGCAAGGGTGAGGGAAGCTCCATGCAGGCCTGCAGGCACCCCTTGGCACAGTGTGGGCTGCCTTAGATGGCAAGTTGATGGTGGCAGGAAGCAGACAGGTTCTAGTGGGGAAAGAAGTGGTTCCCCAGTGAGGCCCTACCTTCAAGCCAGGGAAGGCCTGGAGCATAGGGGCTGGGATACCTGTTCTGCAGATCAGAATGAGAACTTATGGTGCTTTCTCAGCTGCCCATGGCCACCTACGGAACCAATCAGCATGCATTTTCTCCCATCTGAAGCCCATAAAAACCCTGGACACAGCTAGACTCAGGCAGACAGCAAGATGACCTGAGGGCAGATAGAAGCTACTCATCCTGGGTCTCCTTTGGTTGTACTTTTTTTTTTTTTTTTTTTTTTTTTTTTTTTTTTTTTTTTTTTTGAGATGGAGTCTCACTCTATTGCCCAGGCTAGAGTGCAGTTGCACAATCTCAGCTCACTGCAACCTCTCCCACCCAGATTCAAGCAATTGTTCTGCCTCAGCCTCTCATGTAGCTGGGATTACAGGCACCTGCCACTGTGTCTGGCTAATTTTCATATTTTTAGTAGAGACAGAGTTTCACCATCTTGGCCATGCTAATCTTGAACTCCTGACTTCATGATCCACCCACCTTGATTTCCCAAAGTGCTGGGGTTACAGGCGTGACCCGCTGTGCCCAGCCTGGTTATACTTGCACCAGCAATGAATTATAGTTCCAGTAGCTCCATATTTTCATCAACACTTGGTAGTATCAGTTTTTTATTTTAGTTGCCCTTGTGAGTTTGTGGTGATAGATCAACTTTGTATGACATTAGTTTAAAGTTGTATTTTTCTGTTTATGAATAATGCTGAAAGCATTATCATATACAATGCCCATTATGCATCTTCTTTTATATAGTATTCATTTTTATTATTTTTTATTATTGGATTATAGGAGTTATTTTGTGTTCTGAATGAGAGTTGTCTGATTTTATGCACACATACAGGTCCCCTACATACAGAGACACACACATATTACTTCCGCCTCTGTTCTTAAAACTTATAAGTGAAAACCTAAACTATGTACTATTTGTGTCTGATGCCTTGCACTCATACAATGATTTTGAGATTAACTCATATTCCCCATGCGTTAGTATTTCATTACTTTGTAACACTATGTATTGCTATAAGTACTAGCAACCCTTCCTATCTCCCTCTTTCTGTGTGTGTGTGTGTGTTTGACTGAGACTTACCTATTGACTTTTTTATTGATGTCTTTAGAGGAGCATAAGTGATATTTTACATGAAATTTATACATTTGTATTTTTAATAGACTTGCATTAGTTTCCTATTGCTGCTATAACCAATTAGTAGAAATTTTGTAGCTTAAAATAAGAGTAACTTATTATTTTACATTTCTGGAAGTCAGAATAATGAAAATGTGTTTGCCGGACTGCTCTCCTTCTGGAGGCTCTGTAAGGAAATCCATTGTGTTTCCTTTTCCAATTTGAAAAGGTTTTCTGCATTCGGTAACTCATGCTCCTTCCTTGAATTACTCTAACCTTGCTTCCTTTGTCACATCTACTTTGAGTCTGCCCCTCTTCTATCCCTCATACAGGAGCCCCTTTGAATATATTGGTTCTAGCCTGAAAATTCAGCGTTCTTTCCATTGTGGGGAACGCTCCCATGTGAGGCCCCCCCTTATGTGTGGGCCTCACCAGATGGTGAGCTTGAGCCCAAACACAGTTTGCTGCTGGAGGCATTCAAGCTATGGGAAACAAGGAACTAAGAAATGACTGATCTTGCAAAAGTTTCTACTTCTGAATGCAATAACGCTTGGGCAAGGGTCGTGTGGTTTTGTCAGACATTATGTCTCCACTAGGCCTCTGCATGGCCTTTATGACTTTACTTTTCAAGAAGTTTAACTTTATCCACATGACTGCCTTGAACCCTAGATAATGACTTTATGGCTTAGCTTGTGACTCTTAGGTATTGTTATTTACAAAAGTGTGTTTTGGTAAAAACAAATAAAGCATACCACCTGCCCGCTTTTATGATCCTTGAATGTCATGCTTAAAATTGTTTTTGTGATCTTATATTTTGTAACTTTCCATTGTTGATTGTGTAAACACCTAAACACCTATGATCTTAAGGTATATATTGAGACCCTGGACAAAAATTAATTCGCTGTTTAGGCATTGCCTTTTCAGTCCTCAAGACCCCAGCTTTTCTGTCTCTCTTTATTTCTGCACACCCCCTCTTTCAGGTTGGGACCCTCTTGCTGGCCAAGACCCCCCGGTGGATCCTCCGTCACCCACATTCCATCTCAGGATTCTTAATCATATCTGCAAAGTCTTCTTTCCATGCTATAAGAAGTGACATGTAAAGTGACATGTTCATCGTTTCATGAAATTAGAGCATATACATCTTCATGGGGGCATCATTTCATCTATGACATTACTAATTTGGTTCTAAGAAATATTTGCTTTTCACAGAATTATAATTATAGTTTCCTGTGTTTATACTAGAAGTTATATGGTTATAACCATACCACTTGGTCTATTTTTCATCTCAAATTATAATGGGATTGAATTCATTTTTGATTCCTACATTTACCCAGTATTTCCAGCATTATTTGTCAGAAAATGTTTTCTCTTCTCATTAAACTATTTTGATACTTTTATCTAATTTTTTTTACCATGTGTGCAAATCTACTTCTGAGTCTCTAGTTGATTACATAAACAGAAATACCTGCTGAACAATTGTAGGTCTTCTTTTGAGAGATGTCTGTTCAGATCATTTGCTCATTTTTAAATCAGATTTTTTTGGGGGTTTGCTGCTGAGTTGTATGAGGTCCTTATATGTTCTGATTATTGATTTATTGTCAGATAGTTTGCAAATATTTTCTCCTATTCTGTAGGTTGTTTCTTCATTCTGTTGATTGTTTGCTTTGCAGAAGTTCAATTAGCTTAGTGTAATCCCATTTATCTACTTTCACTTTTGTTGTCTGTGCTTTTGAGGTCTTACCACAAAAATCTTTGCTCAGACCAACAGATGTCCTGAAGTGTTTTCCTAATGATTTCCTCCAGTAGTTTCATAGTTTTGGGTCTTACATTTAAATATTTTATCTCTTCATTTGATTTTTATGCATAGGGAAAGACAAGGTTCTAGTTTAATTGTTCTGCCTAAGGATATCTAGTCAATACCATTAAAGGGACCATTGCTTCCCCAATATTTATTATTGGTACCTTTGTCAAAAATGAGTTGGCTGTAAATATGAAGATCTATTTCCGAGTTCTCTATTCTTTTTCTTTGGTCTGTGTATCTACTTTCATGTCAGTGCCATACCACATTGGTTACTATACCGCGTAGTTATAGTTGAATCTTGAACAACACAGGGAGTTAGAAGTGCCAACTCTCACACATTTGAAAATTATTTTATTTTTGACTTCCCAAAAATGAAAGTAGTAATAGCCTAATATCGACCAGAAGCCTTACTAATAACATAATGTATTAGCATATATATTATTTATCATATATTGCATTATTTCAATAAGCTAATGTAAAGAAAAGAAAATATTAAGATTGATAAGAAAGACAAAATATAGTTACTATTCCTTAAGTGAAAGCAGATCATTATAAAAGTATTCTTGTTGTATTTGCATTGAGTAAGGAGAGGAAAAGGAAGAAAAACCAGAATAGTTGGTCTTGCTGTCGTACAGGTGGCAGCAGCAGAAGAAAATTCAGATATAAATGGACCTGAACTGTTCAAACTTGTGTTGTTCAAGGGTCAACTGTACTTTGAAATCAGGTTGCATGATGCCCCTGCTTTGTTCTTTATGCTCTGGATTGCTTTGGCTATTCAGGGTCTTTTGTGGTTCCATACAAATTTTAAGATTTTTTTTTTCTATTTCTGTAAAGAATGTCATGGTATTTTGATACAGATTGCACTGAACCTGTAGATTACATTGGGTT